GTCAGAGCCTGGCATGGTGGCAGTGGTGGATGAGTTTGTGATGGTGATAAGGCCCAGCTGGGGTAGCAGGAGTCATGGTCACCATGGTGGCAGAGGATGCAGTGGTGGGTGTCAGGACCTTGCCACTGTGGTGGGGACCACGAGGGCTTGGCCATGATGGCAGGGGGACAGCTCAGGGGGCTGCAGGCCCTCCAGGGACACGACGGCCCCAGCACCCACGGTGTTCCTGGTGGCACAGGGAGGGACAATAGCGCTTGCACAAGTTCCGTCTCCATGGAAAGCACGGCCAAAACAACAAACAAAACCTTGGCCTGAAGCCGCCAGCTGCCTCCGCCAGTGTCCCTGTGACCCCACCCACCCCTCAGCACCCAAAGTCTAGCTCAGGCTCAGCACCCTCCCTCTGAACCAGCCTGAGGTGGCACCATCCTCAGAACTCAGCTGCAAGAACACAATGATGGTGGGGACACTCCTGTGCTGGCCCGTACTCTCCTGCACCCATGGGTCACACATGGACAGTTATGTGTTGACCCTGTGCCCCATGTCCCACTCCTCCAGGTTTCAAGTGTCCCCTTGGCATTTTTGGCAGGGGTTTCCTGTGGCTTCACTGACATGGGTGCCCAGCTTGAGAAAACACCTCGAGGGAAGCAGGGCAGGGGGTAGCATATGACCAAGGGTACCAGAGTGGAGTGACCCATGGAACAGGAGTGACATAGTCAGGGGGTGACACAGAGGTGCAGGAATAAGGGTGGAACAGCGTGGCACAGAGCAGAACCCATGAGAGGCATACAGGGACAGGATGTTGGGGACAATGCAGAGGTGAGGGAGTTGTATAGTTGGGGATGACGTGGAGGTGACATAGGCAGGTGAGGACCTAGGGGACAGGGCTGAGACTGATGCACGGGACATGTGGGATACAGGGCAGGACCGGGGGGATAGTGTGACAGGAGGCAGGTCTGAGAGGACAGAGAATGGAGTGACTGGAGGGCAGAATAGAAGCACGCGGGGAACAGGCAGGATGACACGGAGCAACACGAGAGGACCTGGGGGCAGGAGGCAGACGGGGGTGACACATGGGCAGGATGCGGGGGGAAGCCCCAGGGCACAGATCGGGGGTAACGGTGGGAACATCCGGGTGCGACCCG